ACTTCAGTAGGATTTTTAAGGGGGTTTAACGGGGATGGCAAAATACATCTTTGCCTGTGTAGCCAAAAATCCTTGCAGGGCGCTGCCTATGGTCAGCAATCTTTCCGGCCAAACCTTCACACTAGGGGTTATTTTGTTAATGCATAAATCATCACTCTCTTTGAAGAGAATGCACTTTACCATCACCTTTTGTATAATTTTGCATGTAGAATTAAAGTTCTTTTGTGCAGAGACGTCACCAGCTCTTGTTTCTAAATGCCAGACCAGCCTTGCTACAATTACTTGTGTGTACTGTTCACCCTTTGTGCATCTCTGAGAGGAATGTGTAAATGCTTTATAAATAATAATATAAAAGGTTGCTGATTACATAAAGAGCAAACTAATGTGGTGCTAGATAGATAACAGACTACTTCATCTCCCTGATCCCTTAATCCTGCAATGTAAACCATTTCAGTTTTTGAGAAACTGCAATGTTTATATTGCTGGGTTAAGACTGCCTCTAGTGGCTGTCTCTCAGTAGAGGTGCTTCTTGTACACCCTGTTCCAAATTATTATGCAAATTCTATTTAAGTGTCACAAAGATTAAATATTTTGTTTTTCAGTTTAACCCATGGATGGCATTTTGTCTCAGGGCTCTTTTGATCACTGAAAACAATTTCTGACACCTGTGATAATTAGATTGCCGGGTGACACCAATTTAAGGAAAAACTACTAAAGGAGGGTGTTCCACAGTATTAAGCAGAGCACCATTTTCATGCAATATGGGGAAGAAAAAGGATCTCTCTGCTGCCGAAAAGAGTGAAATAGTTCAATGCCTTGGACGAGGTATGAAAACATTAGATATTTCACGAAAACACAGACGGGTTTGTGCAGATAAAGGCACATTGAGGAAGATTTCTGCCAGATCCATGCATCGGATCAAGAGAGCAGCTGCTAAAATACCATTACATAGCAGCAAACAGATATTTGAAACTGCTAGTGCCTCTGGAGTCCCATGGACATCAAGGTGTAGAGTCCTCCAGAGTCTTGCAACTGTGCATAGACCTTCTATTCGGCCACCACTAACCAAAGCTCACAAGCAGAAATGGCTGCATTGAGCAGAAAAATACATGAAGACTAATTTTCAAACAGTCCTGTTCACTGATGAGTGCCGTGCAACCCTGGATGGTCCAGATGAATGGAGTAATGGATGGTTGGTGGACAGCCACCCTGTTCCAAAAAGGCTGTGACGTCAGCAAGGCGGTGGTGGAGTCATGTTTTCGGCCGGAATCATGGGAAGAGAGCTGGTCTGCCCCTTTAGGGTCCTCGAAGGTGTAAAGATGACCTCTGCAAAGTATGTGGAGTTTCTGACTGACCACTTTTTTCTCTGGTACAGAAGGAAGAATTATGCTTTCCGTAGTAAAATCATCTTCATGCATGACAATGCACCATTTCATGCTGCATAGAATACCTCTGCATCACTGACTGCTATGGGGATAAAAGGAGAGAAAGTCATGGTGTGGCCTTCATCCTCCCCTGACCTCAATCCTATTGAGAACCTTTGGAGCATCCTCAAGCAAAAGATCTATGAGGGTGGGAGGCAGTTTACATCCACACAGCAGCTCTGGGAGGCTATTCTGACATCTTGCAAACAAATTCAAGCAGAAACTATCCAGAAACTCACAAGTTCAATGGATGCAAGACTTGTGAAGCTGCTAACAAATAAGGAGTCCTATGTTAAAATGTAACGTGACCTGTTAAAATGTTTAAAAAGTTAAAATGTTGTTATAAGTTTGATTGAAATAGCTTTTGATTTCAGTAAATATGCCGCAAACACAACAAATGACAATTTTCAGTTCTTTACAACCTATAAAGTGTTTTGAAACTTACTGTGCGTAATAATTTGGAACAGTGCATTGTACGTTTTTTATGTTTAAAAAAAAAATACTGATATCATTAGGAGGTTTGTTCAATAAAATTTGAATTGTACTCTTAATAGTTGATAACATGAGAATTATGCTGACTGTTATTTACATCAATTATTTAGATAAATGAGAAAAATATCATTTGTATAATAATTTGGAACAGGGTATAGTTTCACAGAGTTTGACACTCAGGGCCGGTGCAAGGATTGCTGCCGCCCTAGGCAATGATCCATTTTGCTGCCCCTTCATGAATGTAACTACATTCTCTCAGAGGTTTATTTACTAAAATCTGATTTGCAGTGAATTGAAAACCGAATAGCAAAATTTAAGCAAAAACCACTGAGCTCTGACTGTAGCTGAGTTGGAGACTTCTTCTATATCAGCTATATTGGCCTAAATTTTGCCATTTGGTTTCCAGTTAGGTCTGATCACAGTGCTCATTCCTCTCTCAACAATCTTTGTATTTTCTGTCTTATCAACTTTTATCTTTCTCCTGTTTCTTTATTCCAAAGCTTGCTGTCTCTGTGTTCATGATGTATCTGCTCACTCTCTGCCGCTAATTCTCTCCAGCCCGTCTTTCTTTATTCTTATAGGGTTATTCACTAAAGTGAGAATTGTTGGGAATTGAAAGTGAATTTCTAATTTAGGCTACTTTGACTTTTTATTTGAAATTGCAGAACTTATGGAAGGAAACAGAGCAGCAGCTGCTGCAGCACCTTCAATAGAGGAAGAACAAAATGAATTTGCAACAGAATTCAGGATCAGAATGGCGCTATTCCGAGAACCACCATCTGCAGAGATGGTCAACAGGCTATTCGCAGATGTGCAGGAATACATCATGCTCAGAAGGGCGCAGAGAAATCAACAAGCAGGAGAAAGAGCCATGACACCTGTCCATATTCTCCCAGGGAAAGTCAAGATCCCCTACCAAGCCTTCAAAAGCTATTCAGAGGCTGACGGTGGCGTGGATGACTACCTGAAGGATTTCGAAAGGCTGTGTCTACTACATGACATCAGCGAGGCGGATCGGGTACCCCTACTAGCAGGGAGGTTATCCGGTTGGGCTGCAGAAGCGTACCGGGCTGTGCCGGATGAGGACAGTAGAGACTACCACAAAGTCAAACAAGCAATTTTGGCCCGGTACGCAATCACTTCAGAGGCAAACCTCATGAAGTTTCGAGATATTAAAAAGCCCACGAAAGACACTCATGTAGAGTGGGCACACCAGCTACAGCGAGCTGCAAAGGGGTGGTTGGAAGCCACCCAGGTTAACACGCTGGAGTGCCTGTTCCATTTGATGGTCCTGGAACAATTCTTCAACGGGATCCCTGCCTACCTACAGAATTGGGTAAGGGACCGAAAACCGCACACCCTGCAAGAGGCTGCCAAGCTGGCAGATGAGTTTCAGGATAACTGGAGGGACCAGCACACCCAGAATCGACCAGCATCCAACTCCGCACCTGCGATCACTGCAGTGACCCCTGCGATCCAGCCACGACCTGGTGACCCCCCCAGGTACTCTGCATGTCCACCAATTCGGTGCCACACCTGCAATCAACAGGGGCACATCCAGAGGGACTGTCCACGTAACCGACCAAGACCCAGCTGGAATAATGCAGCACCTAGTAACTGAGCCACCGTACACTGTGTACAGACAGAACCGTATAGGACACCAGAGGTGGCCACTCCCATGGAAGAAACGTTAGGCACACTGCACGAGGTGAATCTGATCCAGGCTGCCTCCGATAACCGGCAAGAACACCGCCAGGAGGTACATATGGAGGGGAGAAAGGTACAGGTACTTCGTGACTCTGGGGCTACCTTAACTTTAGTCCGGAGTCAGCTGCAAGGAGACATGGGGACACTGAGACACTAGAGGACACTATGAGACATGGAGAAACATGGAGACCTCTGGGGACGTTGAGACACTAGGAGACACTTGGAGACACTGAGACATGGACACACACGGGGACACTGAAACATGGACACACACATGGGGACACGGACACACATGGGGACACAGACACACTTGGGGACACAGACGGGGACACACATGGGAACACGAACATACATGGGGACACGGGGACACATGAGGACACGGACACACACATTGGGACACAGACACACATGGGGACACACGGGGACACGGACACACATGGGGGCAAGGACACAGATGTATACGGACACACGGACACACACGGGGACACGGACACACATGGGGACACACATGGGGACACAGAGGGACACGGACACACATGGGGACAAAGACACTAGGGACACAATGTCCCCAAGTGTCTCAGTGCCCCCCATGTCTCCTCGTCTCCCCGGGAGACACACCTCCTTTTTGGGCATGATCCGCGTCAGTGGCTAACCTTTTTACACCGCCTATTGACTTCTTGCTTCACTGGACACTGCTGTTAGAAGGTATGGATTTACTTCAAAGATGAAAGCATGAATTAGAGAGAGATTGGCATATTTTAAGAGAATCTGAGTTTTTTTTATAGCTGCATCCTATTAGTTTCCCTCCTGCAACATCTCCACCATATACATAACGCTTGAGAGGTATGACTGTTTTAGTGTTTTTGATCGATAAGATTCTGTACTTAAGCCCCTCATAATTATGAGCACCAGGCCCACTGGGCTCTTAATCTGGCCCTGCTCTCTCCACATTATAACTTATTTTAAACTCCAGTAAAACCTGCTTCACTCCAAAGATGTATTTCCTTTATCTCTGCAGCCACGATACTCCCTCCTTATGACCCTCTCTCAAATATAAATGTGCCCAGATATTGCCCCTGAGTATTGTACCAACTTACCCCTATGTTGCTCCTCACCACAACATACATGCTCTCCTTATGAATCTGATATTTTTTGATATCTTAAATCAGTTAATCATGTCACAAGCTTCTGACCAGGCTGATAAAAAGTAGAGTTGTACTTAAATAAAAAAGTAAAAAAAAAAGAGATTCTTATTCTTACCAATTAAATTAACAACTGACATATACTTTAATTTGATATATTTGCTCCAAAACAAAGATAAATATTTTTTGCATTTGAGTTAAGATACCGGAGACATTAAATACAAAAATATAAAATAAAAAAGTCAGATAGCGCACACGGGATTCATGAGGATCCGTTCAAAACACTGAAGGTAGAAGTAACCGCTAAGTTACAGCCGGCCCAGACATACAGTATCTTCTGCAGCTCACTAGTACTGTATGAATAGAGACTGCAGCTAGTGACATCATAATTGAATAGACTCCACATTCCTCAGGGATCCCTGGTGATTGGAACACACACAGTGTTAACACTTAGTTTACACAATAATGCAGATACAATCACTTATCTCTTAGTTACACTAGGATTTGGGGACTACATAAATACATATAAATACTGTGTGTTTTCTGTAGAGTGATTTTCAATTGGACACAAATGAAGCCAGAAACATTTTGTGTGGTAGTATGTTCATATACAGCAGACTATGGGAGCTCCTCTCCCCAAAATAAATGAGATACATAGTGGTGCTGAATACATAAACTTTCAAAATCAGGTCTGCTGCTTTAATTAATTGGATTTTGCATTTAAAACACATTTGATTATGAAAACACTTGATTTCACTTGATAACTTGATTTCCTAAATATTTGCCTCAGATATGTCAGGGCCACTTAATGGGATTCCGGATAGGGCACAAGATTTCACTTGGTGTGTGCAGGCACTAAGACAAATATCATTGATGTCTGCTATCATATGATTGCAGCACAATGTACACATTGTAATGCATGCCCAATGAGCACAGAATGGACAGTGTCAAACAGGTTCCAGACCCTGACATATATAAGGGAACTATTCACTAAGCAATTCACTTTCTCAAAGGTTTAAAGGAAATATAAAATGTCCACATACCGTATTTAAAAAAAAAAAAAATCTAATTAGTAGAGTGATTTTCATGGAAATATCTAAAAATGTTCTATTCCCAGAGTGAAAATATATCAAAAAACCTATTTTACTGGCCAATAAAAACTGCTTTTATTCTGACATAAATAACATGATATACAGATATACAAAGATAGACAACCGAACAAATAACAATTAGTTAATGCTAGCAAAAAACAAATAACATAACATAAATACATTTCTAGCAAAACCACAGAAAGAGCGATGGAGACATGAGTGTCTCTCTTTATTTCTTTAATTATCAAAGGTAAAACTGGCTATACATGTACCAGACTTACAATTGAGGAAGTCAGAAAGAATAACAAGTCATTATTTTATCTTAAAGGTTAACAATAGCTCAACAACATTTAAATAATATAATCTTAATATAATAATAATAATAATTTTAAATAATAGATAGAAAAAAAATGTTGGCTACTGTAGTAAGGTGCACTTACCCCTGAACATAAGCCAAATACCAATTTAATTCAAGTTCACCCATTGACTCCAGATCACTAATAAGTATTTGAGAGCGCCTCAGACCATTGCTGTTAGCGTATCCACCCATCCAAGTTCTCCAGACCTCCATGTTTCAGATATGGACCAACAGGAAAGTCTTTCCCTTGGGAAAGAGCAGTATAAAACCCTGGACACTGGATCTTTGATATAGTTTCTGGAGAAGTTTACCACCTTAACAAAAATATTGTAACATTTCTCTTGTGGTTACAAAATGGAGACCCCAATCTGTCACCTACTCACCTAAATCCACCTCCTATTAGGATACATATCCCAGGGGTCTTGAGTAGGAAGTAGTAGAGAGACATTTATACAACATGGAAATAATACTCGTAGGAATTACTTCCATTATTTAATATATCTTTTTTTTATAGGTTAAAATCTAAAATTCAAATGCTGACTGAATCATATGTGACCATGTCTGATCAAATAATATGACAGCCAGGGCTTAGGCTTTAGAAACATTCATGTTAAACTAGTTTACAGTTGAAAAAGATGAGGAAGAGAATAGCTCAAATCCATTACAGATTGGAGGACATTGCCTGCATATGTGTAGACCAAGTATTCCTCCCCCCTATAATTAAAGGGACACTAATGTTACTCAGACTACTTGATATCAATGAACTGCTCTGAGTGCAATGTCCCTGTCTTTTCAACCTTGCAATGTAAAACATTGCCGCTTTTTCTTCCTAGCCACTAGAGTGACATGGAGCCCATATGAAAGCATTGAACGCTGTGTCTTCCAAAGGAGAAGTTGATTGCATTTGCCGCGCATGCCCATCAGGTCTCCATCGCTCATCTATGATGATTGGACCATCGCGGAGGAGGCCATGTCTCCACGATAATATTGCCGGAGGAGGAGAAGTGAGCAGAGCCGAAGGATCACCGCCGCTGGAAAATGGTAAGTAAATTCTTTTTTACAATAATTTTTATGGCAAACGTGGCTGTAGACCTGTACTTAACTAGGGACAGGGGCACTATACCGTTAGGAATACAGGTTTGTATTCCTAACGCTCTTATTGTTACTCTGCACGTTCCTGCACCATGGATCACTTCTCTGATGCTGCTCGCTGCAAGAAATTGATAATTCTAGCAAAATTGGTATAGGTCACCTTGGCCACGTTGAACTGTGACTCAACATTAAACATTTCACAGCATAATAGTCACCACCGCATAATGGTCGCACCCTGGTTTTTCAGTCCACAAATTGGTTCAAATACAATTCATCACATAATAGTCACATAATTGACCATTGCTGGTTTTGTCTTTGAGACATTCTTATTCTTGAAAACTGATGATGAACATCCTACTAATCTTAATAGAGGGGTTTTGCCATTACCTTTATCAGTCTATTGTATTTTAGTGCATTTTATCTATGTAATGCTTTAGGAAATGTGCATGGTCTCAGCAGCTATGTTATCAGCAACTATAATGTTATCAGCAACTGTTGAAAAACTGTTGTAAACCCCCCCCCCCAGAAATCCCCAAAGCTTCACATAACGGTCACATATAATATTGCGAAAAATAAACTTTACATACTGGTCGCACACCGCATAATGGTCACACTCTCATTTTTAAGGAAAGGAATTAGGCATAAAATCTGCAACCATTATGCTGTGAAATACGGTAGTTTAAAATCTTATTGTGATTCCTAACCATCAAATGAATTAGTGTGCATTTGATTAAACTTGTTATTGAATCTTGGTTTAACTGAATTCTGGAACCCTGGTTTGGCTTTCGCATTTACTTCTCATGATTATACATTGTCCTTGACCTGGTTTGTTACTATTGTTTATTTCCCTCCGTGGCATCCTCATTCTTGACTTTTCCTGACTACTCTACCTGTTTGTAGGCTATTGTTCATTTTCACCTCACTATATACATTACTTTACGTCCAGCCACCTTAAGGACTGGTAATATGCTTCTATCCTTTTGTTCTTTACCTTTCTGTCTGTCTTGGTTTTTACATATTTAGGGAGATATTCAGAATCCTTGACATTTTCTCCCAAGGTTGCTCTCTCTCACTTTGTCATTCCACAGTCTCCTCGTCCCCCTTGGTCATTCTCTCCCTCTGTCACTCTCCTTCTGTCTCTCAGTGTCACTCACTCCCTGTCTCTCTATCTTTTCCAGAGCTGGATTACCTGTTAGGTGACCAAGGACCTGGGTTTAGACAGGGACGTAGTGGGCGCCTGGAACTTCGGCTCTGAGCAAGCCCTCCTCGAACTAGCAAGGAGAGCAAAAGTTCCCACTGTACGGCCTGCGCTCTCTCACTTCGTTGAAAGAACATGTTCTGTACCAATATTAGATACAGACCATTTTAAGAGCACCCTTGCGATCCTTCTCAAATGATGCCCCAATGGACCACCAGTGAAGGTAAGCAGGATGAATGGGAGGGGTGGGGGGACATACATACACACACCACTTAGACAAACTCAGACTCCCCTACACACACAACACTCAACCACACTCCCCTACAGACTCCCCTACAAACAGGGAAAAAATCAGCCTGGACATTTAAAGAGAGAGCAACCTAGTAGGACGAGGCGAGGACAGAGAGTGGACATGTCATGTCCATTTCTCCCCCCTCCCATAATCTCCTGTGTCCCATACCCTCCATTTCTCCCCCTCCCCTCCCTGTGCCCCATACCCTCCATTTCTCCCACCTCCCCTCTCTTTATCCCATACCCTCTCTCTCTTCCCCCTCCCTGTATCCCATACCCTCTCTCTCTCGCCTCCCTGTATACCATACCCTTTCTCGCTCCCCCTCCCCTCCCTGTATCCCATACCCTTTCTCTCTCCCCATCCCCTCCCTGTATCCCATACCTTCTCTCTCTCCCCTCCCTCCTGTATCCCATACCCCTCTCTCTCCCTCCCTCCTGTATCCTATCCTCTCTTCTCTCCCCCTCCCTCCCTGTATCCTCCCTTTCTCTCTCCCTCCCTCCTGTATCCATACTCTCTCTCCTCCCCTCCTCCTGCATAATACCCTCTCTCTCCCTCCCTCCCTGTATCCAATAATCTCTCTCTCTCCCCCTCCCTCCTGTATCCCATACCCTCTCTCTCCCTCCCTCCCTCCTGCATCCTATACCTTCTTCCTTCTCTCTCTCCCCCCTCCCTCCTGTATCCTATACCCTCTCTCTCTCCTCCCTCCTGTATCCCATACCCTCTCTCTCCCTCCCTCCCTGTATCCCATACCTCTCTCTCTCCCTCCCCTCCATACTCTCTCTCTCTCTCTCTCTCCCTCCTGTATCCCTATCCCTCTCCTCTCTCTCCCCCTCCCTGTATCCCATACCCTCTCTCTCTCTCCCCCTCCCCTCCCTGTATCCCATACCCTCTCTCTCTCTCCCCCTCCCCTCCCTGTATCCCATACCCTCTCTCTCTCCCCTCCTGTACCTTACTGGCCGCGGTTCCCAGTCTGACAGAAAGTGTTCTAACAATGAGCATTTCCTGTCAGACTGCTCGGCAACGCTACACATAGGCAGGAGGGAAGCAGCACAGTGCAGCTCTCCCTTCCTGCCAGACCTCCGGGAAACATGGACCTGGGCTGGTGCGGCTGTGCACTGGCCCATAAGGAATCCAGATGGCCCACAGTCGCATGGGTCACGGCTGCGGCCGGGCCCCCTGGAGTGAGGGGCCTGGTCACAACTGCGACCCCTGCGACCATGGTAAGTACGCCAGTGGGTCTGCAGTTTGGTAGTTTGTGTTTGTATAGGGGCTGTAGTTTATGTGTACATG